ATTCTTCGTCTCGCTCGCGACTGTAGTCGAGCAGCATCGTTCTTTGAGGTTATGTCGCCTCTCTCCTCGCTACGTTGCGCTCTCTTGCTTCTCCCTTCGCGACATTGTCTCCCTTCGTCTTTTGCCGATCCGACTCCCACCCTTTCCGCTCCCTACCTCGCCTTTTTTCCTCGTCTCGCTCTCTCGCGCACGCCGAGATGCCACGAGGATCCGTCGAGCTTCTACGAACTTCTGGGCTTTCTCCCTTCGTCCTCCCGTTTCCTACCCTTTGTAGGGCGGCGGAGTTCAGCCGCTGAAATACTTGGCTGGCTTCGCTCGGCGCCGGAACCATCCACGCGGCATCGCTGATTATCTTTCCACGAGCCTTTGACACGTCTGTGCTCTCAGCTAGAGATACTGCCTAGATACGGAGGGAGTTGGAGTACCGATCGAAGTAACGCCGCGACGTGAATCGTCGGTGAACGAACGGGTATTTTCGCAGCCGGGGAAAATCGAATGGAGAGTAGGGAATTTGCGGCGGGACACTCCCTAGGGAGGGAAAACCTTGTCTCGCTGATAACATCGGTTCTTCGAAGCACGGTTGGAACTCTCGTCTCTGCTTACAGAAATAAGATTGTACGAATGAGATTCTAGGGAGCGTTAGTCAGGCGTTTGTTGATTATTTACAACGTCGTGCGGATGGAATGCGAAGCTTGCGACAGTATTTCGAATTTGCTTAAACGGACGAATGGAAATGCAGTATGGTACTCTGTCGAAACGCATAATCAGAATTCCGGTTGCCTTAAATCAGCGAGCACGAGACCGCGAGAGCACGATAAGCACCGGTTCTATCCAATCGGGTATCAATTACGGAGCGGTTGCACGGTATCCGAGGAATACGTATCCGCGTTTCGTGCCGGGCATACGTGCACGTATGCGCGAGATAAATGCCGCGGCGTGCGTTTAATCGGTCGCACAAGTAGAAAGAGTAATTTCGAAAGAGCCGGGGAGGGAGTAGGAGGCACGTGCCAGTGGTGCGCGCGTGCGTGCGTCAGTCCGCGCTCTCGACACACGGTGGCACTCGGCTATTTTCGAAGAACGTGATATAAGCCTCGATGACGTTCGCGCTCGGCCCCGTACATGTGTCCCCGTCTAGAAATTACCATCACCACTTCGATCGCTACGCGAACCAGCCAGCCGGTTCTAATGACCTTTCGACGCGCGATACGCGTCACGAGACTAATCGCCTCTCTCGAGGAAAACGCTGCACGGTATTGTTTCTAATCGCGTGTCCGTCAATGAATGCACGATTTTCAACTGGATTCGACTTCTATTCCGACCTATTTTCTATTTCAGTTCCACGCCCATTCGTTCGTCATTAATTATCGTCACCGGAACTTCGTCTGAATTATTAAACGCGCGTATCACTGAAAACTCCAGAAAGTCATCCGATGGATTTCCGCACAATCACCGTCGATTATGAATGAACCATGAAAAATTCCTAATCGTCCAGTCACGTTTTGGAATTTTTTCCTAAGCGAGCGACGATATCCGTACCACTCGCGATACGTTTTTCCAAAAATTACCCCCGATGGCACTTGACGAAAAATCCGATCGATTCGGAGGAGTCCAGAAGAGAGTCCTGGTGGGGGTTCGCGC